CATTTGTATGGGACTATTTTTGATTTGCAATCTTAGTTTTAATCTTCCCTCAAATAGTCACTTTTTGTTCGGATGACAGCACACATGCTTGGATAGATTAAGTTGTGTTTCAATAGTTCTGATTGTTTTTCTTTCTGATGAAAAAGAGTATTTTTTGTCAGTTTGTAACAGATTTATTTCAAAAGTAGTTATTTTTCTTCTATGCATATATGATAACACAAAGTCAGTTTTTATACCTGGAATTCATTATTTATTTATTTATTTATTTATTATTATTATTATTATTATTATTATTATTATTATTATTATTATTATTATTATTGCACAACATATAAGCATGCAACATCAGCTCTCCAGAGCAGTAGGCACTCCTGCAGTAACTGTACCCTAATTAGTCTGTCAAATAAACCACCCCTGACAGGCCACTGAGTGATCAGAAACATGGCCACAGAGAACCAGAACAGGGTGTGGTGCTTAAAACAGGAAAAAACAGACTTGAAAGAAAAGACATCAGTAGTGCGAAAAAGACTAGATGTATATGTGAACTTTATGTTTTCAATTACCCCTGTGGAGTATCTAAGCACCTGCCAGAGGCTGCCACCCCACTAGGGGGCGCCAGGTCACTCAGGTAGGTTATTGGTACCTACGGCTGGCAGATAGCTTGAAGGTCTGTACTATCCATTCTTTTTTACTGTTCAGTGTTTTTTTTATAAAGTGTGTTTGTTAGATTTGTGGTTTACTACAAGGTGTGATGTTTTAGACTGTTAGTACACTTGGGTGGGTTGAACTTTTTTTTCTTAAAATATGAATACTTATGTCTTCTGTTGTGCAGTGAAAAAGTGAAAACCAATATATTTTGTTTTAAGCCAAAGTAATGACTTTCAGTGTTTCTTTTTTCATTTGGTTTAACTTGTTATAGATATATTTAAACTATGTCTGCACACAGGCAGGCAACATGTACTGGAAGTTATTCCTTTCTCTTTGTTTAATGTGCACAATAACAGTAACAAGAACTGTTTTAAGAATTAAATTATATCAATATTTCTGTACAAAGGCTATAATATTGTGAAATGGCAACCAGTGTCATTTTTACAGTACCTCACATAAGTAAAAAGAATGAACAAGGAAAGATTTTTCCTTCAAGTGTATGGCAAATTGGCATTCAGGAATTTTTTTTTTCATAAAGTTCTGCAAACAAAACATCTAGTATTCATCAGAGCCAATAAAGGTACACCTTATCCTTGAAGTAAACTGAATGTGCCGCCCCCTGGTGACCCAGATTATGTTTTGGCATGTGTGTTGTCATTGATATGATCCAGGAAAAAACATGGGATGGTTTCAGGAAAGATCTTGAAGATCAGAATTTAGGTTGACTTTGCCCCAAGATATGTCAGTAAGTAGTCCAATTAAATGGAAATAATGTGCCTCTTTCAAAACAAGAAAGATGTGTCTGTTTCAAGCCAATACAGCAATTTATTATTTTTTTATATAGTATTAGTGGACAACCATAGATAAATCTTGAAGACAGGTAGGCTAAATTTTTGAATGCAATTAAGACTATTTTTTGGGCTAAAGTTCTTTCATGAGTCCCCCCCCCCCCCCAAATCCCCTTTCTCTGCCTAACCTTGCAAACGGTTAGTTTACCCGTGTGGAGGCAGCCTAATTATCTCCAACTGACTTTCGGGGCCGTGACCTTCTCCGATCACACAGTTGTACGCACACGTGAAATAGAAACCTTCCACTGTGAGCTCCAACATGATGGATCCTCGGCTGACACCTTGTGAGGCAGTCAGGGGTTTCAATTAGTTACTTTGAACTTTTTTCTAGCTGCTTGAAGTCACAACGAAATGATAAAAAAGGATAATTTTGACCTTTGGTTGTAATTAATGTGAGGGGATGTTACAGCAAGGTGATGCTTCTGTCTTATCTGTTTTTGCATTTTTTATTTTAGTCCGATTTTTTTTTTTTTTTATAGCTGCTGATGAAGAAGTTTTTTAAATAAGGGAACTGAAGCCTCACATTTAGGAATTCTATGCAAATTTGCCTGTCTAGGCTGTGGAAAAAAAGTGAGCTAAAAATTGAGACATTTTATGCAATCTCTTCATACCCCCCAGTATAATTAGTACACAAATGAACACACACACACACACACACACACACACACACACACACACGCGCGCACACACACGAAAACCAAAGTTGCAGTGTTTTTTTTTATTATTCACGTTTTGCAGTGCCACCCCTCCTATCATCACTTTGAGAAAACTCCATGGATAAGACTTCATACATGTGAGACAACTGTAATTTCACATCTGATTTGTAATTGTCATTTCATGTTTTAACATAAGATATTGTGTGGTGTGCCTTCCTGATTTGGATTTTGTTTGGAATGCTTTGTTTATACATTTATTTCAAATTATCAGTTTACACTCTTTGCTTACTAATGTATCATTTTTGTTTTTTAATTTATTTACCTTTTTTTTTTAAATACTTCAGCAGAACACTTACAGAATACAACAAAAAAATAATAGCATGTAGGAAACAGGATGTCTTTTTCTGATTGATATTAAAGAATGACCTTTATCTTTGCCTACTTAGTAAGCTTTACGTTTTATCTAGAAAAACAAGATATGATTTTATATAATTCTAAAAAAAGGATTTTTTATTGGGTTTGCATTTGATTTTTTTTTTTTTGTTTATTACCAACAAATACATTGAGTATAATTGATAGAATTTTAAATGCACTTGATTATGAAACCTGCCATATCAATAAAATTTTGTTTTCCAGTTTGGATTTCTCTCTCTCTCTCTCTCTCTCTCTCTCTCTCTCTCTCTCTCTCTCTCTCTCTCTCGTTAGATTACAAAATAGAAATCGCACCCTTCAAATTGCGCCTGGTAACCCTCTTGACTTTCCACTCCCAGAAGAATTGTCAACTCGAACTTCCAGACTTCCTCTGAGCGCCTAAGTCACTTTTTGCCTGATTAATGAGAAATTTCACCCGCGTCTCGAGTGGATTGTAATGTAGCTGCGAGCACCCTAAGGATTCCATTTTGGTATTGAAACGTTCACTTCTCCAGGTAGAGCAATGCGGCGGCATTAATAAGCCAGGGCAACGGGGGGTTGGAATAATTAACCCAACTATCAGAATCCCTGAAACATTCCATAGAAGGCTCCCGTGGGGGCTGACAAGCTGATGAATAAACGAGGAATAAAAAATAGCAGAAGCCCTGTGGACCCACGATCTGACCAAATGCCATTAACTTCAATAGCGAGGAAGAGATATTATTAGTCAGTGGGGAATCGGAATGAGCAGGAGGAAATTTTCACAGCAAATCAACACAGATGTATTGAGAAAGCACGGCCACTTTGATGAGGAATTATATACTTGGGACTCTAATTGCTACAGTGTTCGGGGACATTAAGATCAAGGAAAAAAATAAGGATGACCTTTGATATAACCCAGTGAGCTGTACAAGTTGTCCGAGCATTTTAGTGAACTTCAGAGACATTCCCGACTTCAGCTGAGGTTAATTTCGAAAGAAAATGGTTAATTGAATTATGTTTCTACTCTTGAAGGAGCAAGAGTATTTGTTCATGAGATAATTTCAGTGTAAGGAGTGACTTGATCCGGGTTAGATCTGATTTTGTCTTCACACAGCATAATGACAGACCTTTCTACTTAGCTATAATTGATATACCTCCAGTGACTGGATACAGATGATACATGACCTAATGCAGTTGAAGCTGTTCACTTGAAATACTAGGACAGTAAATTGGATTGTTACTGATTTGTACCTTTGTCATTACTGGTGTTACTGAGTTGAGCTGTTTGCATTGACAATTTGTAAAACTAAGTTTGATTTTAAAATAAAACAAGATTTGCTTTGATGAACACATACCCATATGCACAAGTTGACACCTCACTGCTGTAGCAGTAAATCTCTGTTTGAATCAATTCACTCCTCTCTTCTTATAGATTAATACAAGCTTGTTGTCTACAAAATATTTTTTTCTGTTTTTTAAATCAATTTATGTTTCAATTAGTATGTGTGGAACTAAGCAAGTCTGTGCCATCACCAGTTATTATATATAATATATTTGAAAGCTTCATTACAAATCCAACTCTTTACAGCTATGTCACAGTTTCAAACTACACTGAATATACAACTGTCTGAAATACATGATAAGCTGTTGTTATGATTTAGTATGACGTATGGATCGAGAACTGTGAACTGACAGATTATACAACAGATCAGGATCCATTGCTGAACAGATATAGCCCATGGAAAAAGTAATCACATATATAAAAACATAAAGACTAACATGACAGTAGAAAAATAGAATTAAATGTGTTTATGGAGGAAAAAATTTGTTTTGACCATCACTCCATACATATCTTATAGATTTTCTTCAATCCAGGCACCCACCCACATAACAATCCCAAACTACAGTGTGATATTTTCATGAATTATTTGATATTCTACTTGATATGGTCACTAAATATGCGTGTGAGTTTGTGTGTGTGTGTGTGTGAGAGAGAGAGAGAGAGAGAGAGAGAGAGAGAGAGAGGGATCCCTGTTGTACAATTTTATTAGAAACATGGAAGGGTTTGTTAAACAAACACTTAAAACAGATCTGTTATTTATTTAAAGGGATAATAACTCTTCGTATGAGATCTATATTTCACAATAAAAACATTGTGAATAACTCATAGAAATATAATATTTTCTGTTTTACCACAAAAACGGCAGTTTTGTGATATATGAGCTTGTCTTTAGACCACGTGACCTCCATTGATGGCTATACTCTGTTAAAATCAGTTAAGAGATTTTAACAAAAAAAAAAACTTTTTAGAAAAAAAACCAGGGACTAACTTTGAATGTAAAAATGGATTCATTAACCATTAGTAAGTATGGGAAATTTGTTGTTTACTCCAGGAAAATTCATTTTTTGGCCGAAACGAAGAGTTATTATCCCTTTAAGTTATTTTTATTCCCAGGCACCTGTATAGACCGTAGCCCCTACAGTGAGACCAGTGGTAGCAACTCCCCTGTGATGTCACCACATGACGTGGACGGTAGCAAAAGTCCAACAAACGCAGGAGAAGCCTGTCTTGGAATACCAGAGGATCAGGTGACTTATATATGGTCCAATCAGGTTTAGGTTGTCTTTTTCCATGTGTGTGGTTGAATCAGATTTAAAGATTTACATTTCCCAGATAGGTATCATCCAGTTAAGTTTTTTAGTTTACATTTAAAGACCAGAAAAACATTTTACTTCCAGCATAGGCTGCAGCATATATCTAGATATATTGATGAACATGTTAACAATTAGCATTAGGAAACACCTAAAACAATGGGAATAATATTAGGCTCAGTGAAAAATAATTGTGCACCTTTCTAGTTTACATTTACGTACATATATGTGTGTATGTCTTAATAATTAAATTTTTTGGGGCTAAAATGTCTTTACACTCCAGTTTCGCTTCGTTTATGCATTGCTAGCACTGTATCTATGTAATATTATTTTTATTTGCTTTAAACATGCACCATGATGTATCTTGAAATCTTGCTTTTCCAGCTGCCGTACACCCTTGGTGTAACTGAGACCACACCCTACGCCTGCCAGTTCTGTGACAAGGCATTTGGACGTCTTAGCCACCTGAAGAAACATGAGCAGGTATATGCTGGAACAGATCTCAGACTGTCCCCCATATCAGTTTCAAAGAAAAAAGATAAATATTTTAGTACTTGAAGATATTCTGCATTTGTTTGAATATGTTTCATAGTCATTTTTATCCTGCCAAACTTTTATCTCAGACAATTCAGAAATTAAAGGTAAAACCCCTTAAAGGAAAGTTTATCTGAAGCCTACTGTATCCGATGCTGTTATTACTTTCTCAGCCTTCTCAGTGAACAAGGTGGGAGCTATGACATCTCACAAATTCAAGAGCACACGGGAATTAAAAATTGTTTTGAGCAGATAATCAAGTACAGATTACCTTGAAAGAAGTAGGCAGTTTGATTATTATTCCCCCCATCATACAATCTCCCCAGTAATTACTGAGCTAGAAGAATGCTGTCTACTTCCTGAAATTAAAGCTACAAACATGTATTACATGTCACTGGTACACTTTACCAATTTGAATGTCCTTTGTGTAATACGAATTAATTAATGAAAATGTCCTTTAATTTGTGTGTTTGGTGAATTCAGATATTGGTTTCAGGTATTAGGGTTTTCTTCTTGTTCTAGGACTCTCCACTTTTCTGTTGAAATAAAGGGTTAGGTAGTAGCAGGAATTGTGGTGAAATAGGGATGGTAGGATAAGCAGATTTCTTCTTTTTTCTTTTTTTTTTTTTTTTTTTTTTTTTTTTTTTTTTTTTTTTTTTTTTTTTTTTGTGTCCAAGATCTAAAATCAGGAGTAAGTCTCTTCAGACTTTGTAGAGCACATATTTCTTTGATGCATCTTACTCTCTTTTAAAGTCTCTTTAAAATTTTTTTCTATGATATATTTAAAAGTAATCTTGAATTTAGTTCATACATGGTTTATGGCACAAACCAGAAACACTCCAGTTCCTCCATCCCTGGGAAGTCTCCAGTGGTTGGGAATTAAATTAGCAATTTTTGTCCATTTGTTACGGGAACATTTTATAACAAAATGTAAATGGCTCAACAGTCCACTGTGGTCGCCAATTATAAAAGTAGTCCTTTTAGGTCTCTCTATCACTCCACCAGAGCTTCTGTTTACATGAGAAATTTACCCCAATGGTAAATATATGATCATGGGTGGAAGTTGTAAAAAGTGAAAATCCTAAAAATGTAGCTTGCATTTTCTCACCACATTAAGACTATGTGACAAAATGACCAAAATGAAGACTGAAAATCCTAAAATCAGGCATAACCCAGAAATCTTTCACCCATGTAAAATTATTTTGCTGAGGAAAATGGAAATTTTTTACTGCTCAAGTTTACCATTGATTAAATTCAATTTTTCACTTTCTTAAAAGAAAATCTACCCTAGAGTTAGTCCATCTAGCCCTTCTCCTTTCCATATATGTATATATTTTGTACATGTAAAAGGCTTTATCATCGGACTCCCCGTAGGATTATCTGCCAGACAGCTGGAGATGGATGACATGGAAGAGCCCAATACATGGGAGACCTGGAGACCATTTCCAATCAACTTTTCCACTGAACTTCAATATGGAAAAATTTTCTGCTGTGTCTCTGGTGTAAGTGGGAAGTAAACTGAGGAAATTTATTTTTAAATCCTGAGTGGGAATTCTGGTTCAGTGTGCCTTGAGACTCTCCGTCTCCCCTGCTGATCAGGGGTTTTGGGACAGTTTAACGAAAGAAATTGTGCCTGAAGTCTAAACTTTTAGGTCAAGATTTTTGTGTGCTTTGTCCCTAAATGAGTGAGTAATAGTCCTATTAAATGAAATATTGTGTTTGTTTTATTTTTATCAAGAAAGACACAAATTAATTTCATTTGAGACCAATATTATGCCTTGTGCTGAGACAAACCAAAATTTCAATTTCAGGCCAGATCAGTTTTTGAGCTGTAAGGTTCTTTACGAAATTGTCCTGAAATTTAACCTTTTTGTAAGAATAAGTTTTGAAAGGCAGGCAATCTAGGCTCATAACATTTAAAAAGCTCATAGTGGCATAGAACAAGCAATAAGGAAGTAAAATAATGTTAAGAGACTTCATGGCATGTAAGATAAGTTAAAAAAGGAAGTCATTTTTTAACATGATTCTAACGCTTTTGGTAATTTGTTGACAACATACAAAATCTGCCCTTGTTTGCAACACCCATTAATACCTAACACCAACCAGTGTCACTTTTGGGTGTTAATTTACAGAAAACCAAATTTGTCTAACAACTTTAGGTACGTGCATGCCATAATGTCAGATATATAGTGCATCAGACACCTCGTCCCTTGAGATGAAAACCCATCGGGCCAATGGAGAACTCTGGTAGACATAACAAAGATTATGTAAAAACAACAGCAAGGTTATTGATTCTAAACCCATTAACAATGGGAAAGGGCTGAAGGTCATGCAACTGTCTGAACAGTTTCCAGATGATTGGTAGTTAGAGCATGCAACACTATGGGCAAGTCATCAATACACAATATGTTTGGGATTTTATGGTGGTGCATTGGACTTATTATGTGTGTATACACGTACATGTACATCACTTTATGCTGCCAACATTGGTAGCTTATTTAATGACTTCACCACTTGTTGAATAATTATAGTCTGAGTTTTAGAACCAATTCAGACCAGGTTCTTCATTTTGAGATTTCCATGCCAGCTGTTCTGAACTTCAGCTGCATTTCATTGAAGTATGTGGCACCAATCACAAACTTAACGCTTAACTTGTCATTTCCACCCAAATATATAAGTCTCAAGCAAGATACCTTCAAGAGGAAATGTTGTGGTGGAAATAACTAGTTTACCTCTAGTTTGAAGAAGTTATTTTCATAACTTTCAGACACAGTTGACATAATTGTTTGCTAGGTTTCACAAAATTTAATTTTTTACCTTTCCCAGGTTCATGGTGACCAGATGCCATACAGGTGTGACTTCTGCCAGAGATTGTTCAAACACAAGCGTAGCAGGGACAGGCATGTGAAACTTCACACTGGGGACAAGAAATACAAGTGTCTGCACTGTGACTCTGCATTCTCAAGGTAGGGGGTGTGTTTTATGAAAAGTTTTGGACTTCAGCTAAGACTGCTATACTTGGATAGGTGAAGGCCGTTATTTGATTTTTTGATATACTTATGTAGTCTAATAGTACTTTATAAATATTGGCCTACAGTGTACATATATATAGCTGACAGAACTAATAGACAACATTGTCACCTCTGAGTAATTACAATCTGCTCTTTTGGCTAAAGTATGGCAGAAAGCACCAGCTAAGCAGTCTCTGGGAATCTAAGTGAAGTGCAACTTAGGTAGCTAAGATTTGTCACTGTGTGGGAGTTTTGTTTCCCATTTATTTAGTTCTAACATGGTTTGACCTGATGTTTTTGTTTTTTTTTTCATTTCTCAGGAGTGACCACCTGAAGATTCATATGAAGACCCACGACACAGCCAAGCCTTACCAGTGTGTGGAGTGCAATCGAGGGTACACCACTCCTGCTGCGCTCACATCACACATGATCAGCCACATCAAGACCAGCCAGTCTGAGGATGGGTTTACTGTGGACGAGGAGCACCTGCAGAATAACAAGGACCATGACAAGGTGGGTCTCCTACGTACCAGTCCAGTGTACAGCTGGGGAATTATAGATAAATTCAGATGTATTTTTGTTATTTATTATTTATTTATTTGTTATTTATTAGCTTTGTTTCATTTTCATTTTGATGTTGTCAGGCGGCAGAGATATTGCACTGCAGTACAAGTCCAACATAAAACTGGCAAATTTCAGATAAATTTTGGTTTACTGCCATTATTTATTTTTTTAATTCTTTAATTTATTCATTTATTTATTTATAAAGCTTTGATTGATTTTTATTTTGATATTCTCAGGTGGCAGAGATACTACACTGCAGTCGGTGTAAGGATTCTTTTGCTACTTGGAACGACTTGGAGAGACACCTGATCAAGGCGCACTCAGAGAAGAGTCCTGACAAACATGTCTGCCCTGTCTGCAAGGAAGCCTTCGACTCCTCAGATGCCCTGTGCACTCACATCAAGGGTCATGCTGTCATGACCTCACCCAGCATCTCTGACGATGCTCCTAGCTCGAAGAGGCCCAGGTTGACACCAAAATCAGTGAATTTGAGTGTCACTGAGAAGAGTGGTGGGGACAACGCCTGTCCGTACTGCTCCAAGAAGTACCCTAGTTTGGAAGTGCTGGAGATTCACATTCACACAATGCATGAGGGTAAGCCGACCTTGATCTACGACTGCCATTACTGCGGAGCTGTCTTCCCATCATCCTATGTCCTAAATGAGCACATACAACTGTCACATGATGGCCGTACCACACCCATTTTCCCCTGTGAGTTCTGTACTATGGATTTCACTGGGAGTGAGGCACTGGAATATCACATGAATAATGTGCACAACTTTCTCCCAGATAACAGTGAGAGTGCATTCTGTTCACAGTGTAACGCTGGTTTTCCCAACAGTGCCACCCTGGCTGATCATGTCCAGAAGATCCACAGTGGGGGGTCCTCTTTAAAAGTGCCGGACATTAGCAAGTATGTCCACCAGAAGGGCAGCAAATCAGGCGGAAAGAGCTCACGAAAGGATAAAAACAGTGACCGATTTGACGACACGAGCCGTGCATCCACAGGCACACACCCTAATGCATCCCGTTCTCCTACTAACTCCAACAATGCCACCGCTTCAGCAGACGCCCTGATCTGCGACCAGTGTCTGTCTTCCTTCGACACCTTTGATGCCTACGCCAGCCACATGCAGACCCACCTGGACAAGGGGTCCCAAGGAGGGCACCTGCATATCTGCCACCAGTGTGGGTCAGACTTCACCTCTGAGGACCAGCTGGAGGCCCACTCTCTGTCCCACTACCTGAACCTGACCACGGAGTTTGGCTGTACCAGCTGCCTGAAGCTGTTCTCCAAGCCTGATGAGCTGCAGAAACACCTGATGGATATCCATGCACATCACCTGTACAGGTGCTCTCTGTGTAAGGAGACCTTTGATTCCAAGGTAAGGTTTCTCCACTTTGCTGACATACAGCTTTTAAATCTATTTATGTGATCCTTCAATTTGTGTACAGCTTGAGCATAATTATTTATTTTACTTTATGTTTCTTGTGGTAGACATGGTTTTATAAATTTAACAAATACAATATTTTCATTTACTTATATTTATGCCTGACGTAACTGTTTTTTATTTCAAAATCCCAATTAAGTTATAGGATCATGTTTAAGTTTTTTAATTTCCTATAATTTTATTATTCATGACATTTTTGAAAATATTTCACATTGAAATTATTTTTACTTATAGTTTAAAAACTGGCTTAATTGTAAATATGAGCTTCACTATCAACTTTTTATGTGGACATTGATTGAAAGTTTTTTAAAAGCACATTGAGATAAATGAATGTACTAGGATAATTAGCATGGGTACTATCAGTGTAGCATACTTGATTCTCTTCATGGGGGCTTTCAGGTTAATACTATCATTATGGGCAATATTAGGTTCATGTTTATCATTATGGGCACTTTCAGGTATAACTATTATTATTATTGTCACTTTCAGGTGAATTTCCAGGTCCAGTTTAATGTTATCATTATGGGCAATATTAGGCTAATGTGATCATTATTGTCACTTTTAGGTGAATGTCCAGGTCCACTTTGCTATCAAGCACAGTAATGAGTGTAAGCTGTACCAGTGTACTGCCTGTACCACGATATTCAGGTCAGAGATGGAGTGGCAACTACATGTCAAAGTTAACCATCTCCACATCACCAAGCCTTATAGGTAATCATTGAACTAGGTCTTTACTTAAATACATACAAACTGAAGAGAGGTACCCAGTAGCTAGGTTACACTTTTAGTTGTTTTCATTCTGCATTGACAAATTAAATCACATGGATGTCATATGCCTTCATTTTGCAGAATATTAATTTTGGTCATTTTATAGGGGATGGGAATTTTCTTCCCTTTTACGAGTATAGAAGTTAGATACTTGCTGGATATTGTTTGAGGCAAATAAGTAGTCTTAAGATTTCTTCCTTTAACAAGGTAATTAGTATGTGTAAGTGTAGTGACAAATATCCACTGTCATGTTACCCGTGTGAACAAAGCTTTAGAAACGAAAGAAACCTAGCAATACTTCCAGACCTTTTATTTAAAAATTCAACAAAGCGAACAAAGCTTTAGAAATGAAAGAAACCTAGCAATACTTCCAGACCTTTTATTAAAAAATTCAACCTTAAACATGGACATTGAGTAACCTGTTAGATTTACATATTTTACATACATCTCTGCTCCACCATCCACAGGTGCCTCTTTTGTAAGGACAGTTTCTCAGCAGAACTGGATCTCCAGATGCACCTGACCAGCCACAAGAAGGAGTTCATGTGTCCAGCCTGCAATGAGGCCTTCCACGTGGAGTTCCTACTGGACAAACACATCCAGGACAAACATGCTGATTCCACCAGCTCCGCAGCTCCCACGCCCCAACTGGCATCTCCAGTTGCCCCTCCTCCTCCTCAAACACCAACCCCGAAACTGAAAGAGAACAGCAACTCCAACTCAGATGTGATTGATCTCAGCAGCAGTGTCATGGCTCTGCCCAGTCCCCAGCTGGTACAGCAGCTTCACCAGCAGCTGTCGCTTAGCAACCACCAACACCACCACCAAGGAGGTCAAGGTCACAGGTCAAGGTCAAGTAACAGAATGAGGGAGATTTACCAGTGTGAACTGTGCGATGCCAAGTTCAGCAATGACCTGTCTTTTCAAAACCATTATGTCTACAAACACAGTCTCAAAGCTCCCATGGAGAAATACCAAAAAGGAGCTTCTGTCTCATCAGCCGGTTCCATGGCAACATCGGTGTCATCTTCACAGAACAGTCTGGTTCCTAGTGAGAAGTACTCCCATCGCTGTGTGTACTGTAACCAGACCTTCAAGACCAAGTCTGAACTGGAGAAACACACCAAGACTCATGGTACCTCCAGCAGTCATAAGTGTAAGGTGTGTGATGAAGTCTTCCCCAGTGTTAACATTCTGGCTGAGCACAAGCTGAGTCACTGCAAGGTGGGCCAGGCCAACACGTGTGCTGTATGCAGGCTTATGCTGAGAAATGAGGAGCATTTCTACTCCCACACCCAGAGCCATGGGGTGAAGGGAGGCAGCACGCAGTGTATTGTGTGCAGGCAGACTTTGACGTCTGTTGTAGAACTCCAGATGCATGCGCGTCATCATTTCAGGGAAACCCTGGCCACATTCACGTGCTGTGTGTGCCTGAAGAGCTACGACTCCAAAGAGAACCTCATCACTAAGGTGAACAGCAGTGGCAGGGAGTATTACGTCTGTAAGATGTGTTACCATGGCAACGGAGCAGGCAGCCCCCAGCCCACGCACTACACCTGCCGAGTATGCCTGAAGATCTTCTCCAACACTGACAACATGGTCAGCAAGCTCAACGCCAGCGGGAAGGAGTACCACATCTGTAAGCAGTGTTACCATGGCAACCAGGATGTGGACCCGTGCAAGATGTCGCCTCAGTTCTATACCTGCTGTGCCTGTCTGAAAACGTACGAAACCAAGGACAGTCTGGTCTCAAGGTTGAACTCCAGCGGACGGGAATATTTTGTGTGTAACTTGTGTTACTATGGCAACCAGAAGGCAGAAGTAAAGAAAGAGCACAGGTGTCCGGTGTGCAGTGTCAAGTTTGAGTCTCAGGCTTTACTGGACGTCCATGCCACTGTACACAACAAAAAGACCTACCAGTGCATAAAGTGCCAGCAGTCGTTTGCTACTGAGTACGAGATCCAGGTCCATGTGGCCACACACATGATGCAGGAGGGGACAATACTGGACTGCAGACTCTGCGGACGTGCCTTTGAATCCCCAGCCAAGCTCCAGTGCCACCTGATAGAGCACTCCTATGAGCCTGGCTGGTACCACTGTTATATCTGTGAGCGGACCTTCGACCAGGCTGTGGACATTCAGAACCATGTCCTGGAGCATGAGAACAGCTTGAGGAAGTTTGCATGCACGCAGTGCAGCCAGTCATTCTTTTTCAGTGGAGAACTACAGAATCATCTGTACACACACGCCAAGGAGCTGAAGTCCCCCTCCTCTGGGCAAGGACGGAGAAGTAGATCTGGTGTGCGAGCCGATGAGGGGTCATCTCCTGTATCAGGAAGACAGGGCCTCATAGCCTACCAGTCTAGTTCATCTCCCAGTGAAGGGGTAGGTAGTGGAGGGCTGGTGGGTAAGATGGATGGAGAGAGGGGTGTGGCAGGGAACACACAGGACACACAGGACCAGGAGACAGAGAGGGACACATTCCAGGTTACTGGGTATGAGAATCTCCAACATGTGCTCCTGGCACCTCCCTCACAGCAACAGAAGGCAGTGGCAGCAGAGTTTCACTGTCCTGACTGCAACAAGGTTGGTATGGTAGCACTGTGTAGAGATATTTGTAACTAAATATTGAATGTTGAGTGCTGTTTTCATTTTAAGTCTCAAGCTTGCTGACCATGTTGCTTAGCTTAGACTGCTTAACTAAGAAGCCTATTGCAATTATTCAAAAGGTTTTTGGTAAAATAAAATATTAGTAATGAACAAATAAAATTTAGAAAGTATGTAATGGAAATCTGTTCTTAATTTACCAGACTTTCCTTGATGTTGGCAGCCTGAGTAGCCATATAAAGCAGCATGAGAAGAGGGAGATATTCAAGTGTTCTCTGTGCCCTCAGGTAGGTGGGTTTTTTGTTCAACCATGAGGGCAACTGCAGGTGTGCAGATTTTTGCTCCTCCTAGGAGTTATTTTAAATTTAAGATTGAAAATTGTTGCCTGACTTTACCTGAAACTTTAAAAAAGGTGAAATTTAGGGACAGGTTTTTAATAATAATAATAATAAAAATCATAATTAGAAAAATACAAATACAGATAAAATAATGACAATAACAATACAATCTCTGTTAATAACACAATACTTCACACTTTTCCTAGCTATAAAACTAAATATATAATTATTATTTTTTTACTAGAAAAAAAGCTGTGTTGTTATTATTATCATTTGTATACTATCCAGATCTTCCCAGACAGCCTGAGCTTCCAGCAGCACTTCATCCTCACCCACGCCAGTGTGACCTCAGACAAGGGTCAGGGTAGCTATAACTGTCCAGATTGTGAGCTAGACTTTACCAGTCTGCCTCTGCTGCAGGCTCACATGAGGACTCATAGCTCTGGTGAGTGGAGTGAAGTGATCCGAGTAAAACTAGAGAGCTCTCAAGTAGCACAGACATTACACATTGATATTGTAGAATTATTCTTTTGTTTAGAGACTAAATAACACATGTTATATAGTGTATAACTAAAGGATAATGCTGTTGTATCATTCCATCTAGGGACTTTGAAAAACCTCCTTCATAGTACCTGAAGTATTGATTCTGTTTTATTGAATTTTATTCAAGTAATTTACTTTTTTGAAGAGGAAGAGTGGTAACCCAGTAAGTTTTAAATGTAATATACATTTGATCACTAAAGGAATTGTTTCTAATTAGGAAAAGAGAACTGCAAGACTCCTTCCAACAGCGACAAGGCAGCAGCCAATGCCTCTGCACCATCTAAAGACTTCAGCTGTTCTGTGTGTGAGAAAACTTTCTCCAAGAGAAATCATCTGAAGGAACACATGCAGGCACACTTCACCAAGCAGGTATGTCACCGTATAT